TGAGCTATCTCTATAATTACGCTGCTATAGGCTTAGGCTTCTGAAGGACATGGGGACAATTTTTTATCACTCTGCTAAATTCTACTTCTGTTAGTTTAGCTGCTAATCTTATGTTATCTCTCCTTTTTTTTTGTCATTGCAGCTTCATCTGGCCTGGTGGTTTATTTAGTTGTGACCACATGCTAGAGGGAGGCAGTAGCTGAACTGCTGTCTTCTACAACTGCAATTTGTTTTTCAGTGCTTACAGTAGCCCAATTTCTCACCTAGACATACCCATAAGCTCAACTTTGTCTATGACTAACTGTATGTGCTCTCTTTACCCCTTTTCGACATAAAAACCCTCTCAGAGCTTATCTGCTTAACTGATTCTTTCCTCTACAGAACCATCTATGGAGCTATTTAGCAGTTACCTTTAATATCATACAAAGTCTTTTTGTTTTCTTCTCTCCAGTGTTGCTGTCAATGGCAAAACGCAAAAAAAAAAAATGGCAAATGCAAGCTAATATCTGTTGCCCTATGCTTAGCCAGGAAGAGCAATTAGATGGGTTTCCTTAGAGAACTTTTGACCAGTCTGACTGTATGATCTGATTGAATTGTTTCATTAAAGTGCATTTAGATGATGTATTGTAATTTGGAGCTTTATAAGGGGATTAAATAATGCATCCCTTATCCAACACGGTTGATTCAAATGGAAGAATTACCTCATCAGTATGGCATTAGGCATGAGAAGGGGTGAAGAAAGGGAGCTCTTGGTGACGCATACCCCTGCTGTGTGCCATTTTATTTCAGGGTCATCAAACCTCAGTCCTTAGGGTTAGTGTCTTGTAACTTTAGATCGATCCAACCATTTGATTAAACTGAATACCTCCTCATTATGTTGAGCCCCACAGAGTTCTGTTAATGAACCAGTCGCCAGATATCTGGAGCTGGAGCCTGGCCTTTGAAAGTGAAAGTTTAGTTTGCACAAATTTTTTTGCTCGTTTTTGCTGTTCTGCATCATTGTCTTGGTTTATGTTTATCAATAAAGCCACATCTCATTCTTGTCTCATCTGTTTTAATTACTCAACATTTGTACGTATAGGCTGTCTTTCGCTCCTCTCATCATCACCATATTTTTTCAGTGATGTACATTAAAGACATTATCTAA